TCTTCTGTGTCCTTGACGTCCTCCCCACCACAACAGCTAGCAGGGCCCCCGGCTCTAAGTGCATCTTCCCTGACCCGACTCAGCGGGAGCCTGGCCAGGATTCTGGGCCCCTCCTGAGCGGCAGATGCATTGTCCTCCGCTGCGCCAGGTCCTTATGGGTGATTTGGGCCTCGGAGGTGGCTACCCGTTAGATACGGGCTCATCGGTACACTGGCTGTAGAATTCTGCTCCGAGTACTTAAAGGTAAGGGTGGAGCAGGAGGAAAAGATGAAGAGGAACAAAACACAGAGAGGAAGAAGGCACAGAGCCAAACCAAGGCACGGCAGCGTCGTGAGCGCTGCAGACTTGGGGTGGGCACGCACAGGGATTGTGTCTCGGTGAAATCGAGATTCAAATCTGGCTCTGCCACCCACTGACGTTGACATTAGTCAACTTAGTTCACGTCTCTGAGCCTCAGTCCCTCCAGGCCTCCTCAGAACATCCACCCCGCCCCAGGGGACATCACGAGCAGGAGACCAGGGGCTTTGCTGTTCCCGCCACTTTCACGTGATGAGCTTGTCTCTGCTTGTTTTCTGAGAATTTGAAATCAGGATTTACACCCCAGAACACTGGCTCCACGTTAATATGGAGGAATTACCATAGTTGTAAAAAAAACTTGGCATTGGATAATGAGCGGTATCAATTACTTTGATGTTTTTTTAAAAAAAAGCTGGGCTTTGTGCTCTTGATTGAAAAGTTTAAGGGCTTCCTTACTCTGATGGAGTTCCCCAGTCCCAGCCAGCAGCTCCTGGGCTCATCAGGACCCGGACTGTAAGAGACTGCTCTGAAGGAAACAGTCCCCACAGCCCCCAGGGCGTGGGCAGGGGCCAGAGTCCTCTCCGAGACCTGCAGCTCATCACGCCCAGAGAATTGAATTCTCCATTCCTGCTCGGAAATTGTTTTTCAGTACATTACTGTATTAATTGCTTCCCAGTAGGATTCCTTTCGATCGCAAAGACCTAGAATACATTTAGACCAAAGTCTCATTTATAAAAACCCAACATGCACAGCTCTTAGGGACACAGAGACTGTTCAAAGTGAACCCTACTTTCCCAATCTACATTTTGTGTGACCATGAATGATTGCTATTACAGTAAGCCCAGACAGGACTAAACTCCAGTATGGTAAGCACAACCTCAGCCCCCCGTCCTCACGGCCCAAAGCAGTCCGACTGCGTCTTGTTATTGGTGAACAGCCCACCTTCCCGCTGAGAATGGCCTGAGCCCCGATGCCAAGGCGCCTGCCCGGTCTGCCGCCGGCTGGGTGCCTACCTTCCGAAGCGCTGCTTCATCTGTTTACACGCATAGTAATTTCCATCTCGCAGGCTCTGTGTCTTCATGACTTCAGAAAACGTCCCCTCTCCTATTTTCCCAATTGTTTTGTAGTCTAAAAACAAAAATAATCACGTAAGTAAATGGTATTTATGCACAGATGTGGTACTCACTTTCGGAAGACAGACTTCTCCGTGAGATCACTGAACAGCAACACAGTGGTCCTTGACTTACAGCGTATCTGAGTTACAGCTGCACTCAGGACCATCTGGTGTTTGTACATCTCACCGTTAATATTATGTACTATGGACAGGGTTGCACTGCATAATCTACTGATGCTACCATTCTCAGATGTTCACTCACAAGCAGTCAAAGATCCGATTTATAAAGACACTGAAAATAAAAGGCAATAATAATGAAAAATTAAAGGAAAAAAAAAGAGGCATCCAACTTAACGTCAGAACCGTCTTATGACAGAGTTGTGGGAACAGAACCCTGTCGTAGGTCGGGGACGATCTGTACGTTGAGGATAATTTCTCCTGTTTTTCCCTAAATCAGTGTTCCTCTCATTTTAGGAGAAGCTGAAGTGCTGGCCGTGTGTTGACAGCAAAGTCCCATCTCGACCCAGTTGATGGGCTTCCTCGGACACCAGAGGCAGAAAGCCCGGGCACCACGTTGCCCAGGGTGCCAGCACGCAGTGAGCGGCTGAGCCGCCCCACCAGCCTGGGCAACGAGAAGGGCACAGAGGGGCCAGGGCTGCAAGCGCTTGGCACGTGGTGCCTCGGAAAGTCACCCGCTGGGGCTACAGATGGCCGTTCCTGGAATTCTCCTGCTGCCTCATTTTCTGGAAGCTGTCGGTAGCTTTCCCTGGCTCTGGCCTGAGGACAGTTTTGTAAGCCTCTGGTTCCCTGTCAAACCCCTTCCTGTTTGACACACCCGGAGTGGCTTCTGTTCTTCTGACCAAATTTGGAATGATACAGAAACGAGCATCCTGAAGACGGAGCTGGTGTTAACAACAACTGAAAGATGGCGTGCGTTGATTACAACTGATTGCCTTTAGCAAGACGTGGCAAGAAAAAAGATGATCAAGCGAGAATCACTGCTTTTCAAGCAGAAATGGGAATGAATGAGAAAGTCGAGGATGTAAACATCTCACCAGGTTGGGGAAGCTTGTGGGACCCAAATAATGGAAGGATTTTGTTGTGTGCCATAGAGTCAATTCCAACTCATAGCCACGCTGGAACCCATTGGGTCTCCTAGGCTGAAATCTCTATGGGAACAGATTGCCAGGGTTTTTCTCCTGCAGAGTCACTGGTGGGTTCAAACCATTGACCTTTCGAGGGTTAGCAGCCAAGAACTTAACCTCTGTACCACCAGGGCTCCTTAGAAAAGGATAAAACCAAACCCACTGCCATCAAGTCAACTCTGACTCATAGTGACCCTTTAGGACAAAGTAGAACTGCCCCATAGGGTTTCCAAGGCTATAAATCTTTACGGATGCAGACTGCCTCATCTTTCTCCTGCAGAGTGGCTGGTGGGTTTGAACCACCAACCTTTTTTTGGTAGCAGCCCAATGTTTTAACCACAGTGTCACCAGAGCTCCTTTTAGAGAAGGACAGACCTCCACAGAGAACAGCGTGTGAGACAAATGACAGACTGGCAGCAAAGACACCATGGAGGCTGCACCCTCCCCACAGTCATTTGTTTCAAAGCCTCAAGGAAGCGCCGTCCAACCGAAACACAAACACAAGAGCAAGGCCTGAAGGAAAGAAGGTCGGGCCTGAGCCACGTCTAAAAAGAACCTGAGCATGGCCAACAGCACCTGGGACTGACGGCAGGCAAACGGTCCGACACCTGTGGAATGTCAGCTGTATTGCTAGAGAAGGAAGTCTGAAGTAGAGGCCCTTCTTCAGCCTTGGGCCCCAAATTCAGTCAGCAGGAAAAGG